ATATTTTCACTCATTCATTGCCATAAGATTTCTTTCTCTAGAATCTATCATACTGTATTATTAACAATAAGATAACACTACAAATCCATTGATTACTTTGTATGTCCCAGATACTATTCTTAGGGTTTAATGTGCATTATTTCATTCAATTCTGACAAGAACCCTATGAGGGAAGTACTATTTTTATTAGCCCCAATTTAAACTTAAGGAAATTAAGGCTTAGAATGTCCTACTTTAAGCACCTGGTAAGGTGTGGATCCAGATTTTCAGAATTTTACAGTTTCTTCATCACAACAATCCACATGGTAATACAATTATATTTCTCTCTTATTATTTGCATAGCAATAAAATATATTTGAATGACTCATTGGCTATCATGGAAATTAATGGTGCAATTCATGTATTATTTGTCTGTGAAATTAATACATGTCCATGGTATCAGAACTCTAAAGAAGAAGCAATTTTTAAATATTGTTAATGCTTTAAAATCAAATATATGTTTTAAGTTCCATATTGGTATATATTAAAAGTTTATAAATTATCTATCACTAAAATGATATCTCTATTAACTTATCAAATGAAAATAATAAGATAAGATGTGAAGAAAACCTTTCTAATAAAAACTATAAATCTATCATTTTGAATTTGTATTTAAAATAATCAAGAGGAAATTCCTAAATTTTTCTTTTCAGAAAATGTAATTAAGCAATATAAACACAGCAAGCAAATCACATTTCTATACTATCACCATGTTTTTTTTTTTTTTTTTTTACAATTTGGATTATATAAACTCTAAGTTTCAAGCCAGGAAGAACATTTTGAAAGCAAAGAAGCTAGAACATCAGAGCCAAATAATTATTCAGACATCCTCAAAAAAATAAAGTGTGATTAGCTCTGCAGCAATAAAACTATGCACTGAAGTCCAGCAAGACTTTAGGGAAGCATGTAGTATAGCTGAGGAAAGACAAAAGTAAAATAAAGATCCAACACTCATCTAATCTCAATGTCATAGCATCTTTGAGATTCAGATAATTAGCAAAGTTAAAATGATTATTAAATGAGGAAATGAAGGGCCATGATTATTTAAGATCTACTGCAAACTACCTACAGCAATCTATGATGAAACTCAGCTACACATGTGCAGAATGCAAAATGGTACAAAAATTTCAAAGTGTAGATATGTTTCGGGATACAATTTTACTAACCTTCTCACATATATTGTAAAGTATAATATGTAAGTTTTTAAATAGCTATCTTTCTTACATAGAAAAATGTATTGGTTAGTTTTCACTCGAGTTGCAGTTTAAAGACAAATTTTCAAAGAGTAAATTTGACAAGAAAATCTTACACGTTAGAATTATGTGTTTTAAAGTAACTGCAAAGATCTGCTTTGTAATACTATTGTTTATTATAATTTCTTCATGCATTCATAGAGAATTATTCAAAACTCCTCATGTATTCATAGATTTCAGAAACATGCAATTTTTAGAAACAGAAATCCTTTCTTCAAGTTCATGAAATAACAAAAATTGTGTCCAGCTTGCAGTGACTCACTTTTGACATTGTCCTGTAGTACGCACCACAATGATGCACTGGACAGCCCCCAGATAAACTAGGCTTTAAGTGGCTAATCAGTCACATTTGGCTAGGGACACACCAGCATCCCCTCTCAAGACATCAGTGTTCCTCAATAAGGGACTGGATTTGTTTTCCAGCTCTTAACAGGATCATTGAGAGGGAACAGGAGGAATATTATAAAGGCAGGCCTGGATCAAATCCAGAGCCAGGCACCCCCACAGCCATGCACTGGAACCTTGCCAAGGAGCAGAGTGTTTCCACAGATGAGCATAGCTCCCTCCTCGAGTACATCCCCAAATCATACAGCCTAAGAAAGTTCAGTCCTGACCAATGTCACCAACTTATACTGAGGCAAATATAAGGGCATATAGAGACACCTTACTGCTTTGTGTTTTTAAAATCGAATGAGTGCCGACTGTCAGTGTGCACCTAAGACATGGCAGAACTTTGTGCAGATGAAGGTGGAGGGTTTTTTACTTTAGTTTTAGGTGCCATGGTGTAGTTCACAGGTGACAGTAATTTTGGTGTTCAAATGTAGTGCTAATTCCTTAAAACAAAAATAAGTATTTCAGCCTTGTTTGAACATCATGTATAATAATGTTTAGCAAAAATGATTCTGCTACCTTGCAACAAACTGGGTACTTTTCTTACAGCAAATATTATCTGTAAACTATGATTAAAGATATTTGTGTTAAGGTCTCTATATAACAGTGTACAACTCAAACATTTCCTGTTAAATTACATAAAATAAAATGAAAATTGTAACTTTAATTTTCATTTTAAAAATTTAATTCTTAAAAGAACAGAACTTTTAAAATTATTTCCTAGTCTTTTATCAGACAAATTTAACCTTTTACATAGGCATTCCTGCTTTGCTTCTTCCCCAGTTATAACTGTGCAAAACTGAAATTCATCTTTCACATCAATTAGTAGCATTAGCTTTTGTTTTACAAGGAAAAAAAAAAGCAATGGTGCTGTCAAAATATTTAAATAACTAGTACAATCGACTCAACATCGCTTCCCAGTAACTGTTGTTAACTGGATAAGAATATCACCTTTCTGCTGATTAGTTCATTGGGTAAATGATTATTTTGATCAGGAAGATTACATTCTGCTGAAGAAAGATGGCAAATTTTTGTATCTTTTTTTATTATTGTTTGGTTCCCATGTATGGAATCCTGAGGATATTCTAATTGATTACTGTGAAATGAAGAAGGGAAGTGGATGGTACGGGTATAAGAGAGTGAACGCTGTGTTTGCTAATGGGACCTAAGCCTACTGAAGCCCCTTTTGTTTGTTCAGAATTCTTCACTTCCCAGTGTGATCTACAGTGCAGATAATAATTGAGTGCTGGGGAAGGACTTCTTTATATCCAACCTGGCAATCCACATCATGTATTTAGCTCTTCAAACAAGGCTGAAAAACATGAGTTCAGCTTTATCATCTAAACTATGTGGCCAGTAGGAGTACAAGGTGAATCATACATGTAAGTTTGACATATCACCTCATGTGTCCAAAGGAGAGAAATAAATATTAAAGGGTTTTTTTGCTTAAAAATAAAGGTCTCATTGTATTTCTTTGCACAGCCTGGAGTGCTGAGGCCACTCCAGCAGGCCTCAGTTTTGTCAACTTCCTGCCTCTGTCCCCAGATGCTTGAATAACAGAAACACATAGCTACACCTTGCTTAAGCATTGATACAGGTTTAATGTAATGTCAAATTTAACTCAACACACCTAATTTTAATTTATTATTTCAGACTATATTGAATACTGAAATTTCTAATTGTATGTGGTTCTTTTATTCCTTTGAAACTCAGTAGGCAATTTCTACTTACAGCAGGTCTCAACTTAGAATGGCCATTTATAAAGCCAAAGAAACATAACGTAACTAAATGAATTATGAGAGATATAATTTGTTTTGTCTGTCTGTTTGGAGATGGGGCTTTACCCAGTCTCTGACTGACCTGGAACTCACTATGTATATCAGACTGTCCTTGAACTTGAGTACTCAATTGCCTCTGCCTTCAGAGAACTGGGATTAAAGGTGTGTACAGAAACTCTTTGTTTCAGATATCTAAATTTTTTAATTATTATTTATTCTTTAAATATTCTTATAAAAATTGGGGAAAGAAATAATGTAATTGACATAAGACATGGGATAGCTTGTTACTATGTGGAAAACATTTAAGATCGACAATGAAAAGTAGTATTTGTTAGGATTCTCCTTGCTTTGTGAAAGAAATTACAATAGTAATGTTGTTAAATATATAGACGCGAGTCAGAATATGTTAAGTCTGAATCTAAACTAACACAAGTATTATTAGTGTAACAGCAACAGACTCCCTTTTCCATTGTGTAAAATACACAGAAAAGGTACACCTACCTCAGTAAACAGGCTAATACATAGAAAACATGAGAATAATACCCAGAGTAGCTAGCAGAAAATGTAGTTAGTTATAACAATTATTAGCTACAGTTACTTTTAAGCATTGTAAGTATTTAAATTATGCTGCCACCTTAGTAGTTCAAGGAAAACATAAAAGTCATTTTTATAGATTACTTTATGCTTTGTAAATTAGTACTAACATAAGTAATATAATTTTGCATATTTTTTCAGAAGTTAAATTGGAAAAGATGGAACTCATGTTATTATTTGAATTTTTTTTAAAAAATGGCCAATATTTAATCACATAATGCTAATTAAGAGAAAATGGAAACTTACAAATACAAGGATTCCTGAAGATATATACTATTATTAATCAAAACCAAATATGGACAACTCAATTGCTGTGTTGTGATAACTTAAACAAATTATGATCCACTATAAAAGATGACTTATCAGAAGAGCACCCATTTTGTTCTTTACTTGAGAAAAAATGACATTGGACAAGTAACTACAGAGATGAATTAAAAGAAATGGTGATGTCGCATCAAAATTCCCTTATTTATGAAAAAATAACTTTAAATGTCTGTGCTCTAATTGTTAAATAATAGGGCTCCTCTTAATAAGTCACTGTTCCTTCTATTTTGTGCTAATAAAAGGCTCAAAGGAACAGAGCTTAGAAGCTGGAAGAATCATATCTCCCCAAAATCCTATTGGCATGCCCTCAGTCTTCACTGGCTAAGTCTACCTGCCGGCCTGTTTCTTTTAAGCCTTACAGTCCAGTGTGCAACTGCTTCCCTCCATATTAGCAAATGTGTTAAATGGGACAAATAAATATAGTAACAATTGTTATCCTCACCAATATTTATTGTACATCACCAGTGAAGATATCAGTACATGGTTGTTGTGTTCAATGGTGTCTTTTAAGATAAAATGACCTGGGTAACTGGCATAAAAGATATACTTATTTGATCATTTGTTATTACAGAAAATATCTGATAATTAGAAAATTTAAATTTAAGTAACAAATATTACTTACGTTCACAAGTGTCCCCTTTTTGCTGGTAGCCTGCTTTGCAGATACATTTTCCAATGGGTACTAACCACTCTCCTTCTGCACTGCAATGCATCCTGGGTGAATTTTCTGCCTCTTCCTCGGCACTGCTGACACATGTCCCACGAACCTCAACTAAGGAGGAAAATTCTGAACCAGTCACTGTATCTGGAAAGACAGCTAAGTTCTCAATAATGGACCAGCACTTCTTGTAGTATACTTTGACAGAAACCAATGCTATGCAGGCCCCTACATCCTGAAAGGCAAGATAGAATCCCTTTTTGGACAAAGGTCCAATCTCTCTCACCTCAGTGTTCAGCTTCATCTTTCTTTCACCAAGGTCACCTTGTGTAAAACTTTCATCTGCAGCAATGGTGTCTATTTTTACGTAAAGGTTTTCTCTTATATTCCTGCCGGTGTCGTAGTCTGTTTCATAATAGTACAAATTAAAGGTTTCCTTGCAAGTTCCCAGTACTCCGGGAAGACTATTACAATCTCTCAAGGTGAATTTCAATTCTACAAAAATCCTTTGTGCATTGCCTTTAGAAATCCAGTTAGTCCGCAGCCAGTTGTTCTGGTTGGGCTCCATCACCTGGCACACCTGGTATGTTCTTATCGGAGTGTAGTTCTCATCCAAACCACTAATTTCTTCCCACTGTAAATGTTTTAAAAGGGGGAGGGGACTCATTAGTCTTTCAGCAAAAATAAAAATAAAAAATGACATCACATTCTCCAAATAATATGAAGAATAATAACAGTACCACAAGTATGGATCCCTGAAAGTCAGAGATGGTAGGATTCCCACTCTGCGGCATTTTAGTAACAGAGCATCATTTGTGTTTGAACATACAATGAACATTTCATTGTTTCGCATCTTCTGGAAGCATTCTTACATGCCTTTTCATGTTTAAGTCTGTTATCTCTAGTGAGACTGCAATTTTAACAGGCTAAGGCTAGTGATTATTAAAACTATCCCTCAAAGTGTATGGATGCCAGTCAGAACTCTGGATATTTCAGTTGTTATTTTAAGTGTTTATTTTATTCTTAAATTCAAAGATCTCTATAAATATTTGGAACAAGATTCCAAAAATACTGCAATGTAAAAACATTTAACAGTATGTTGCAATTCATAATGTGAAATATTTTGCAATTATGTGAAAAGGAAACATTTTACAGTTTCTTATTTTTCCAGCATCATATTTAAAAGTGTACATAAAGCCATATATAATTATCAAGTAGTTTGGAAATTCACTCTTATAAACAAATTGTTTTCAGTAGACAACCAAATATGGGTGTCAAATTAGCAAGCTATGCAAGGATTGTTTTTAGATGTCCATTTATCTTCTGATAGTATATATACATATATATATGTATATATATATATACATTGTATCTATTGAAATATATAAATATATATTACAAGTGAATTCACTTATATTACTTCACAAGTAAAGGAGAGATAGATAGTTCAGCAACAAATTCAAAGATAAATGGAACATGTATATTACATATTTCTCATAGCAAACAAGTTCAGGACATCTAACAGCTTTAAAGGCTTCAGTAATAGCTACTTATGTCCTCTCTTACTATTATTGCAATTTTTCACAACTCACAGTATGATATATTAATGATGAAACTGTCATCTACTTGTACTCACTCAATTAGAAATAGCAGATACAAAATATTATGTATTTTAGGTCTTAAGTCCTCTAGCATCTGATACTTAAATTGTTAATTCAAAATATGTAGAGGGGAAAATATGATGATATATATTTGGTAATGATTTTTCACTTGTAAAACCTGATCAAAATATTAATTGATTTAAAACTGTGGTATAATGTTAGCATGTATTTTAAAAAATCATTCTTATAAAATTAGAAGAATGATAAATTGCAGAATACCCCAACTCAGAAATGTCTCATGAAAGAACTAGTCATGTTATATTTACTACATTTTTATTATAACAGTCTAATGTTGCCAAAGGTCTTCAAACAGCAAAGAATTGATTTTCATATTATGCTTCTTGGCACACATTTTTCCACTGTATAACACTATGTAAGCTTTCCATTTATTTCTTGAGGTAGCTGTTTTGAGTCTGTCTGTATGTAACTAAGACAAATATTTCAAATTCCTCAACTGATAGTTAATTTTTGTTTCCTGAATGGATTGAAGTTATAAAAGAAGGAAAAACAGTCACGGTGCCTATCAAACAGCAAGAGATCCAAAGCAAAATGTGCCCTTCTTACCATACTTCAGCTTGGAGAAATCAAGGCTGATCATTCTGGAAGACTAATATGTGGAATTTTGACATGTTTAATTTTAAGAGTAATTATGTCATTCCAGATAGGAGAAATAAATTTTGTTATCCATGAAATAAATCTTTGCCAAGAAAGTCATGAAAGCAAAGTCTATTTGATATTTATGCCATTGTTTTATTACACAGCTTTTAAAACTGAAAGCATTTCACAAATGACACTATTGGGATAGATGTCTCAATTCAGACCGTGAATTTTGTAAATATTATAAAGTATTTTTATAGCTACAAAAATATTTTCTTATGACTCAGAAACAATATTTCTCTATGTAAGCATGTGTGAACAAATCTGTGTCATAGAAAGGAATGTCTCTGTATCATATTTTCTTACACAAAATATTGATTCTTACACACATATATATATAGTTAAACTTTAACTCAAGATTTTCTGCACTGATGAAATGCCCATATGAGTCCAAGATAACATTGACAGTCACAATTTATCATGTTGTGGATTACACATGGATGAAGTACTGTAATCATTTATCAGTTACTTCTTCTCAGAGATAAAACCATCTTCTGTATCTATTCGTTTTAATTGATGGATAGTAGAAAATGGGCTGCATCTGTCATTGGCAAGACTGGTACTGTATATTTGTTTTTAACTATGTATATCTTTCTACAATGTATATTTTTAATGAAAACAATTTCACATACATGGAAGTACCTCAAATTCTGTGGACTTCTATATTAAATTTATAAATTATTTGTAACTTTCCCATAATTTCTATGGCCAATAAAGATCACTACAATATGATCTCTGAAAAATTTCTCAAATTTTAATTTAACGAAAACTCTGAATACTTGAAGCATTCTCAAAATTTCTCACTTTACTATTAAATGAAAAGCTCTCCAAGTGACTTTCCTGCTCATGCTATGTTGATTCTATGATTTTGTTCTTGTACATTCGTTCTCATTGTAAATCTGTTGAAAGTGTTTATAATATCATTGATATTTCATGCCCCTTTAGCCCCAGATTTCCTCATGCATTAAAGATAAACTTTAGTTAAAATAGAGGATTTTTTCCCTTTCTCAGAGTCCACTTGCTTTATCAGAAATAAAAAATTTGTCCTAACTCACCATCAGAAATGACACATAAAGATGATATCAAACTAAATTTGAATAATATATTTTCTGAGTATATGAAATATGGTAAAAAGAAAACATTTAAGGTTTTACTCAGACTTGGACAGGCTTATTTAATATTCAGTCACATTTACTGCAGCAAAATTTTGCTGTATTATAATATAGATATATTTCTGTCATCAATTTTGGTTAATAACAGCAGATAGTACAACACAAATGGTAAGAATCTAACACTTCACAGCAAACCTTAAGCCTCAATATTGTCTGACAGTTTTAGCTACCCTCTGAAGTCTACTTTGGGCAATGTTAGAACTATTTTTAAAAGATGAAAACAGGTTTCATACTGTTTTAAAGAATTACACAGACTCTACCTACTGATTATTATACAGAAGCATAAGGCAACTGCAGAGTCTTAAGTGAGTTTGTGAAAAGAATGTTCCCTGCAATTAGTTAGCATTTATAACCTGAACACACAGGCATGATTGATGGCACTCACAATAACAACTCAAAGACTATGGGTATGATTTTTTTTCCTATTTCTCAAAGCTGTATGTATACATTATGTATTTGAAGAATCCAGTATCTCATGAGAAGACAAAACATTGAACAATATATTGAAGTTGTAAACCTTTTACATGTATGAATGTGAATGGTTTCCCTGGGGGAAGCTTGTGTTTCTTTCTCTAAACAGATATGATCATATTGTATGAGAGATATACGTACCCCACTAGGTGGAGAGGAAATCCATTCCAGTTCTGTTTGTTGTGCTTTCGAGTCCAATAAGAGAACTGAAAAAGAAAGTTTTATTTCCAAATATTACAAAAAAATTAAACACATCTCTACAGTTTAAATCTAATTTTTATTAAATTATTACTTGATGACTTAAGACATTTATATAAATGGTGTAGTCAACAGCCATTTTACATAAGCATATTATACTTTCTGGAGGGGGGACATATTAAAATATCTATGCACTTGGTATCCTTCAATTAAAATTTAAAATAAATTTTCAATGAAATACTAGCAATAAAGTGGGAGTGAAAAGCTAAAAATCAGAGAAAGTGATTTGCAGTAATAACAAACAATAGTTTTGCAAGTCAGTGAGGTCTTCACATTTCCAAAAATATACCAACATGAGCATAATAAGATAGAATCCCTACACAACTTTTCAGCCAGGCTCTACTTTTTAATATTCTGCTAGCAATATTTTCTATAATCTCTTGACAATTGGAGTTTAATGTTTAACGAAGAAAAAAACTCACAATACTTTGTCTTCTACCAACGTGAATGTAGATCCATGTTAAACAATGTCACCATGAGAAATAATTCCCTGTTATCTGTAACTTGTGCTTCTCAGCTAATCAGGCAGCTTTCATATATGTTTTTTTTTAACGGGAAACATTTCAACATACTAGCTATTCTCTAAACATTTTAAACTCTAATCTGACTTCTACTAACAATGGTATTTCATCTTTAGACTATCAAAAATTATAATTAATATTTATGAAAATTGTGATTAAGGTATTATTGGTATCAATGTAAAAATTCATTAGAATGGTATGCTATGATACATTATACTTTCAGTTGGAGATGTTGGTTTAAGATAATTATTCTTATAAAACATTTACTGATCAAACTTGTTTTAGAAGTACATAGCTTTGGAGCTTTAAAACAATATATCTGACCCCAAAGCATTTTGACAAATGATCTATGGGTCCAGAAACCATTGTGAATATTCTTTCCACATGCTTAATATCAATCTGAGGAAAATGTTGACATTTTGACTTGAAACTATATACTCACATAAACTTCTTAATATTTCCAGGCTCGTGTTTTAAATGGTGTGTGTTTTGAAAGGTAAAGAAAACAGTTGTGTTAGAAAGCAAAGAACAATTGACTATGCACTCCGTTCCTTTACAGGACTCAGTCATCCCCAGTAACTGGAAACAGAAAGTACAAAGACATGAGATTGAATTGCTTGGTTTTAATGCTTTACATTTAAGATTGCTCCGGTAAAAATCGACTCCCTTGCAATTAAATACACACGTCACTTATAAAATTTCAATTTGCCTTTTAAGTTGGAATACCAGTAAGTCTGGCTTAGCGTATTTACAAGGAAACTAATTGTTAAAGGATTTTATTATTACTATTATTATGAGGAAGAGATGAAGCCTAAGGAAACAAATTGAAGCCACAGGACTCTCTTTTGGAATTTATTGTAGGGGAGGGCGCTTCTGTATTGACAACACTCAGTGGATTTTAAGCCTAAGTGACCCTTTGGGTTGATTTTAGGAATGAAATAAACACTGCAATTAGCTTT